AGGGGCTTAACTTATGGTTTTGCCAAAAAAGAAAGGCAAAAACTTAGAAAATATAATCATTATTCTCAATTATAAGTAGATCATTTTTTTTTTGCCGGGAAAATAATAAATAGATTAAAAAAAATAGAGTTTCTTTTCAAAAAATATCGGAGCATATTACACTTTTTATAATTATTTAAGAAAGGGTGGAGGGAAAAACTGTTTGATAGGGGGCACAGCCCTCCATCAATAATTAAAATAAGTTTTTTAAATGTTAATAAATTAAAAAAATTTCTATCATGTATCTTAAAGACACAAGATAAAAATATAGTAAATATTTATTAAAAATATAAACGTTGATTTGGATTTAATCAATCAACCAATAAATTTTATAAACTTATAATATGATTTATTATTATATAACTAATTCTTTTTATTTAGGGATTCATCTATCATATTTTTTTTATTCACTCATCTAATGATATATCATAATAGTAAATTTATAATATTATAACTCTATATAATATTTATACGGGCAGGTGTGAAATATTAATGCTTGTTTTCATGTGTTTTACAACTTTCATCTTTTGAGTAGGGTAAATTCAATAAATAGTTTATTAACTATATGTTCTATTTTAGTTTAGTCTAGAAACATTTTTTTTTAAATGATTTATAAATTATCAATTTTATTTCAAAATAATCTACTTAACAAATATTTCGTTAATTGACTAACGGAATTTTTTCTAGTTATTGACAAGCTACCCCCAAAATTTTGAAAAATGTTAAATTTAGCATATATATTTTTGTTTTTTTTGTAATATTTTGTTTTTAAAGTTTAAATTCTATGCCAAATGTAATAATTAATTAAGATAATAATTTTAATTCACATGAATGAAGATTCTAATTTTAATTTATAACAATTAATATTATAGTTTAAATTTTATTATTTCTTAAAAAAATTAATATCATTATTAAATTACATAGTTTTTCATTACTTTGTATAGAAAAATAAAAAATTCTATTTTTATTTTTAACACTAATAATACATGCATGATTTTAATTTAGGGATTTATAAAATTGAAATGAATTTTTATTTTTTAGGTAATTTTAATTATATGTGGGTGCTTTTTTAATTAAATTAAATT